TTAATAACATGAAAGTTAATCTCTCTCTCTCCCCCTCTCTCACACTCATATATATATTGGATTTCACTTTGTAAGGTCATCCTTACTAATCTAGTTATAAACTAAGCCTATTACTGGTAATCATTGAAATTAACTCAACAGCCTTGTTTTAAACTTTTTAAGGATTGAGAGTATGGGACTGGTATTGGGATAAAATTATCTCACCTTTATATGTCTGGTATGAAAGAGTGAGAAATTTAATCCCAATCTCAATTCTACCTAGGTGGGATTACCTAATACCACCACCCCTATTATATTGAACAATTAATCCTAGGTTTGATTATTTTCAGACCAAATTACCCTCACCTCTCTCCCTCAGCCCTCACTCAGTCAATGTACTTTTAAACCAAGCAACAGTCACACCAATGCCCCTCTTATCTACTGATATTGATGCGATCCTCCATCGATGCCAATACCATCTTCCACCAGTGCCACCGCCAGATCTGAAGAGAGAAGGAGATCGAAGATGGGAGAAGAAGGAGGATGACCAACGACCCAAGCCTCTCCTCCACTAGTAGTGACCTTGGCGAGATTCGATCCGCCAAATGAAGTCACTGCACTTGCCCTTGAAGTTCAACGAGTTCCAATACATCCTGGACTTGGTGGCCATGTAGTGGTGGGAGCATCACTGAGGCAAGTAAAAGGAAGGCCTGGCTTTGTCCTTGTGAGAGAGAGGCGAGAGACTAGTCGCACACAACGAAGAACAAAAATCTGCTATGAATAGGAACAGCAAGAAGCTTAGGAATTAACAGAAAAAGGACGTGCGTGAAGAATATCTCAAATTGCTTTAAAACCAACGGCTTCTCCGAAGGGCTTCTAATCAATTTTTTTTAAAATTTCAAGGGGTATTATAGCCTTTCATAATTTATATTTAATTATAAAACAAAATAAAAGGAAGTATTCCTTACAAGTATTACTCTATACCAAATATGATTTTAAGACCTCATTCCCACTCTCAATCCAAGTTTTAATCTCACTCCCACTCCCAATCTCAATCCCTCTAGATTGAGACCTATATACTAAATAGGGCCAAAAGGATTAACCAATCATGGTTAACCATTTAAAAGTATTTTAAAAAACTAAAAGTATTTCTTTTAACAATTAGGATTTCAAGTTTAAACTTTATAAAACAAATCAAACATGATTGTATGAAGTCAAAAATGAAATATGCATAAGTGTATAAACATAGGATACCATGTGGTAGTAAAAAATACTCAAAACTAACTAAAAAAATATCAAATGGAAATGAAGACAGAGGGACACACTGCAACATATGTGCATGTCCTACTGCTTATTCCTTTTCGTTTCGTGTGTCATGACTTAGGTGCCATGCATCATGGTATGCTTCACAGAATTTAATAGCACTGTGCTGTCATATGACAACACTTAGGGACAATGTCTATAGCGTTTCATTTTTTCATCCAATATCCGATTGAGGTAATCTAAGTATCTACAGGAAACATTCTACATAAACTAACTAACGACACAAGTTTTACTTCCAACAAATTTCACAGAAATGAGTTAGATACCCAAACACTTTTTTTTCCTTTTTCATACTTTTCACATCATAAGAGTATCCAGAACCCAAACACATGCGCCAAAGCTACAACTAACACCTAAACTATTCTTAATGGACTTAGAATAATTTGTGCAACACACCACATGCATATAATAACAACTATATTTCATTTTCAATCCCCAAACCTTTAATATTAAAAATAAAAAAGGAGGTATAGCATTGCATTTAATTAAAATAACCTTAAGTTTATAACATTTCAACATGTAATACATTTATACTAGTATTTTGACTTTATTGAAAATATTCAAATTTACATACAAATGTTCCAAGACCTAAAATACAACAATCAAACCATGATAATTGCTACAGTGCAAGTATACTCAAAAATATATTTCTAGTTGGCAATATCTTTGTAATTGCACAAAATAAAATTAAAATAGGAGCCTTTATAATAGAAATATCAAATTCCTAAGCCTCTGAATTTTGTCCCCTATTTGTACTCGAGCTAGAGCTAGTAAAAATATAAAAAGAGGAGAATGGATACAATCACTTAATAACCAAGGTACATTTATCCTTTGTGATTGCATATCAATTGACTTTTAAACGTGTATATATATAAGGAATACATGTACATAACCATATAAACACACTTATCACATATCACACGCATGCACAGTCATCATATATTCGCCAGCCACAATTTAATGCTCATTGCCATAATATTAACAAACATGTGGCAGTAGCAATTTAATAATTACGACTTGTCACAAATTTAACAATCATGTGACATATCGAATAATATGCATGGCCAATTCTTCCTTATATCCTTTGACTGAAAGCATGGGCTGTAAATCAAATAGGGTTCCATTCATATGAATAGACTACACAAGCTCACCAATTATGAGAAGTGACCCGATCAAGCATCACCATACTCATTATCAAACCATGACTTCTATCATTCTCAAATCCCCAATGTATCGTAAGCTCTAAGCTAGTCTTATCAACAAATAAGTTGAGATGGTTAGGTTTGAGTCATTTGACAAACAATAGGATAATCTCTCAACAAACAGTAAGATAATGTTTGCCTTCAATTACCAAAGGCAGCAATAAGGGTGTTTATAGGTTCGGTTTGGTTTGGTTTTGGCTAAAAATTGATCTTGGATCGGACTTCAATGCACTTATTTAAATTTTTTTTCCTTTTTTCCCATCTTCATAATAGTGCTATGCATTAAAATTAAATCTAATTCTTTTTGGCTCCTTTTTTTCATAAATAGAGGTATAAAAATATAATAAAATTTCAATGCGATAACGATAATTAATCATAAAAATTGATATAAGTTTTTAAGATTAAAATTATTTAATATTATGCATTTTCATTCAAGTCCTTTGAAAATGTTTATCTATATATTTATATTTTAATAAATAATAAAAAACTTATTATATAAAATTCAAAACAAAATGCTTCTTGTAGATAAATTGAATATTGAGGCTTTCAAGTTGCAAATAATTAAATGATGGTCATAGCATCATTATTATAATTATTTAATATTATGCATTTCTATTCAAGTCCTTTAAAAATGTTTATCTATTACTATAAAAAATTCAAAACAAATTGCTTCTTGTAGATAAATAGTTATATATTTAATAAATAAATAAGTAATATTTTTTAATTAAGTTTGGCTCGGTTTGGTTCGATTTCTTATACTCAAAACCGAACTTGAACCAAACCAACTGGTTCTCATATCATAAAAATTGAAGCAAGCTTGATTATTATTTGGTTTTGATCGGTTTCTTTCAGTTCAGGTTATTTTGGATCGGTCCTTTCGATTTGAATCGATTTTGAACACTCTTAGGTAGCAGTATAATACCATGTGAATTTTATTCACTCATCTCCCTCGATAAACTCTCACCAATACAATCATGCAAGGAAATGTGCCTACATATTTTAACACATGCACGTATACGGTGGCAAACTTATTATTTTTAATATAACAACACGCTGCTACATGTGAGCATCACATATTTTCATATCTCATTACACCACCATTATATTCCATTCATATATAACATTTTCCATATTTACAAGCATTGTGCTTTTCAATCACTTCACAATAATGATACTCGTATAACTAACAGAATACTTGAGATTATATATCTACACACACCTTTTCAAGCTACACAATCATATCCTAATAGAACAGCAACATCTTATTAGGTTCTTTCTCATCAATGACACATACACTTTGTGAAATTCACATACTTATGTTCAAAATATATTATTTTGAAAACTTAAATCAATCAATAGTGAATTACACAAAATAAATTTTCACCACCTACCTCAAACCTTTGAATAGTTAAAGATTTACCCCTAATGCTTTTGAAGCTTGTTGTAAAGCCAAACAAGTGCATGAATGATTAATATATAATTGATCATATCCAAACTGGTCACCATCATTATTTACATAATTTAAACTTTGTTCCAACACTTAAAATATATCAAAGATCTTGTTTCTAGCCTCTAAGCTTATCTATTGGGCTTATTAACTTTTATTAACTCCTTCAGGGTCATCAATGTCACATAACAACCTTCAAAACATATAATTAATACTCATTTTTTGGACATAAATGCCTAACAACCACCATTAATATGTATAACTTTCAATTATGGGTTTAAACAACTTAAATATCTTCCATTAACTCTATTTAAATGAATGAATCAGCCATAGCTTTCCTGTAACCCAACCTAGCCACATAGTAGCCCAAACAACGTAATCAACAATAGAATTTATAGGAATTGAAATTTTCAAGATATTAAGTGATAGTATTGCTAAAAAGAGGTTAGATAAAGATGAAAGGTCCCATTTATTGTAATTTTTTTTCTTTACCTTAAGAATAGATAATCTCTATTGTTAATGAAATACACTCGTTGTGGTAAACAAATTATCTAGTTTTTTACCTTTGTGTTTTTCTACATCTAGCTTCTAAAATCACTTTGTTCTTTGTGAACACTAAAATCATTAAAATATTTATTTCTTGCTTATTTGGTGAAAAATTCTCATTGAAATTTTACTTAACTATCATGCATTTTTGTAACCATACATTGAAAATGATTTCGATTGATAAATGGGCACTTCGATGGTTTTTTTTTAATTAAAAAAACATTAGTTTGAATTTAACATCTATCAACCCCTACATCACCCACACGGCCACACCCTCAACGGTATAGTTTTAATTATTTTCATTTTGTAATAATAAGTATTTAAAATCTAATATTTCTATGATACATAAAATCTAATATTTCGATTTACTGTTTTGGAATAATATATAAATATAATAGCAATGCCCCTTCTGTAACTGTAATGAACACGCACGATGGGTCGATGGCTGGTCAAAAAAAGAAAAAAGAAAAAGAAAAGGAAGAAGCCCGAGGGCCGAGGGAGCTTCGCAGGAGAGAGAAACGAATTTATCACATACAAATAAAAGCTTTTTGGAGCAGAAAACGGAGATTATTGGATCATTTTGTCGAAATTAGCGAGCCGAACATTGCACAACCACTACAGAACAGACAAAAGCTACCCACCCAATACCACCTCCAAGCCCAGCTGTCGAACGCGACCAGATATCCCAGAAGGAGAAGATAGAAGATCAACGCTCTGTTATCCTGGGAACGGTTTTATCTATTTTTATTGTTATTCTTCCTATTTCACCCTTTGGGTTTTCTTGTATTCACCAACCATACCATTCTTCCATGGCATCATCGAGATCTATGGTTCCCTCCCTTCTTCTCTTGTTTATTTCTGCCTTGTCTCTGTTTCAATCGGCGTCGTCCTCATCCGCGTTTTCGGCTTTGTGCTATCCATCCTCTGCTTTGTTTCTCTACACTATTCAATCTCAATGTCCTCGGCCGATCTTGCCGAAGCCACCTCACCAGGTAGATGTTCCTCATCCCTATCTCTCTTTCTTGATTTCAATTTGCAGTTGGTTGTATGGTTCCTTTTCCCCCCGTCGTTTGATTGTTTTATATCATTTTTTTTATGTCTGAAATTAATGGCCTGTAATTTTGGCCTTTATTCCCTGATATCTGAATTGTTCTTCTTGGTTGTTCAGTTAAAATGGCTATTTGGATATTTTATTCAGGCTATCGTTCCTATGTTATTCATTCGGTTAATTTCGGCCCCAGGAACTAGTTTCTGATGTGATGATTTGAAAAAAGGCAAATCGGAATATTGGATGTCGGTAGTCCACTGTTCGGTTTGATATGATATAATTGCAAATAAACACGGAACTGCGTGGTGAACTTCCAAGTCGGGCGACAATGTAATCTTTTAATCTGATAATGGGTTTCATTGTAGATTGTCTTGAGTCTAGAAATTTTCTATTTAACATTACAGAGAAGGAAAACCATGATTTGTTTTAGGCACAGTTGTACTTTCTCTGATTTTAGCTGTTTTAATGTGACTTTGAGGATTAATTTTGTTGGATCATCTAGCACTAGTTAGAGGTCAGCTCGTTTATAAATAACTCAGAAAATTAAACAGTGCGAGTTTAAAGTATGACAATTTAATTGAAGCCTTTGAGGGAACTGTCTTTGTGTCTTGTCTTATGCATTTAGACGTTCATATACTTGCATTAGTCTTGTTAATGCAAAAATAAAAGTCTCAATGTGATGTCATGCCTACAGACCCTTTAATTATCATGAAAGGAGTTGTCCTTTTCCCTGTTGACAAGATAGTTTATGAATTCTAGCATGAACGGGAAGATTCCATTCAATTTTCAATTTGTACCCAACAATACTATGCAGTTGCTGTGCTATGGAATGTATCATGTATGTATCCTATTATTAAGAGAAAAGAATCTTAAATTTAGGTAAATTGCGTGTTGAAGATTCTTTCCTCAGGAAAGTTGACACTGTCAGAGCAAGTTTAAAAGACTCCGTGTTTCCATAGGACCTAGGTAATCCTGCTTGTTCCTTCCTATGTACAAGTTCACTTCAGCTAAGATCCTTAGTTAGTGTGGGCTTAAATTTTTGTTTTTATGCAGTTTCCTTTTTAAACAGACAATAGTTTGTTTTGGTTCTCAAGTTCCTCCTGTCTTTTTTCTTGGATGTGAGATCCTCCCTGAATCAAGCTGGATTGCGGGATGATCTGCAATGGCTAGCTGAGATTGATTGCTGTTATTGCTACATTAATGATTTTTTTAGTTGATGTATTCAGCTTTGTCATTTTCAGGTTTTCCCCCTTTTAACTTTCCATCATTCATTTGAGCTAGTATTTTGCAAACTATTTTTTATCTCATAATCTAACAATATCAAATCAATCATTATTTAATGTGACCATTGTTATTTATATCCCTTTTTTAGAATCTTATGCAAACTCTCTCCCCATGTCTTCCATAAAGAGATAAGGCCTCAACAATTTTCTGTTGAGAAGTTTGCTTAGATGATGTTCCTTTCATATGGGAAAACGATACTTATACATGAAATTAGGCATCTCTAGATACTATGTTAATGGTGTGATTTTGATCATCTCTACCATCTGAATAGTATACTTGAGTTGCTGAGCCTAGCTGCCTAGGGCTGGAAAATAAGTCTGTGTTGCTTGGGCCTCAAGGCAAGGCTGTTGTCTCTTGTTTATTAATTTGTCATGTTTTTTTTTTAACTTTAAGTATCTTGCCTTATCTTGAGGATTTTACTATGCTTATTTATAACTGAAGTATGTTATTTTATTTTGTTACAAATAAACTAGTTTAGGTCCATCCCCTAGGCATTACTTAATATCTGGCAATTATATGAAAACATGGCTGTTTATTATTATTTTAGTGGATGCACGTAAAATATGGGGAAAAGGCACAATTTTGGCCTGGGAGCTACCTGATAGAACCCAGTTCTCCAGAAAAAGGGGACGTTTAAGGTGCAACGGTGCCCCCCTCCCCCATGCTTGAAAGATTTTCTCATAGCCATATTTGAGATGGCATTGTTACTCCAAGGTTGGATGCCCCATGCTATTGTATTGTGTTGGTGTGGTTTTGAAGTTCCAATATATGCCAAAATTCATTAGTTTTTCTTTCTCATAACTGGATCAATCAACTTAAAAGATTTAATTATTTATTGGTCCTTTTCTGTTGGTCATTTTTATTTATTTGTGCTTATCCCAATTTGATGTCATGTATTGAATCCTTGTTTTGATCTGTTCAGGTGGATGGAAATTTCGTAGAAGGAGTTTTGTCTGGCAAAAAGAAGATCGGTTTTGTCTCTGTTCTCTTCTATTCTTCCCAATGCCCATTTTCACACAGTTTACTTCCTAAATTTGAAACCCTCAGTTCTATGTTTCCTCAAGTAGAGCATTTGGCAATTGAGCAGTCGTCAGCCTTGCCAAGGTTTTAAAGATATCTCCTATTCTAAATTTTATGGCTAATTATGAAATTCATTGCAGTTTCTCTGTCACATGTTTGGTTTGTAAACATTAGTTCATTCTCTTGAGTTAGCTAGGCTCTTAGTTGGCTGGGCTAAAGCCATGAAGTACTGTCAAATAGTTTATCTTCTATGTTACATTGTATTTTTGTGCAGACAAATTAAGATTCAGCAGAAATTTTTTACTGAATGGGCAAACCTTTCAAGTGTTTGTTGATGCATCTTGATTTGTGTTTAATTCTGCAGCATATTTTCAAGGTATGGAATCCATAGTTTGCCAGCTATATTACTGGTGAACCAGACATCAAGGTTGAGATATCAGGGGCCAAAAGATCTTCTCTCACTTAAGTATTTTTATGAAAGAAACACAGGTAAGCTCATCCTGATTCTTATTTTCTGTAAATTGGTGGTGGTTTTTTAGAGACTTCCATTTTATACCTGCTCCTGAGCTGATGATAACTACTGGCCATGTGATAAGTTTTATTGCCAAGGAGATTAGTGTATTTTATCCCCGAGAAACTAAGAGCCTAAATATTCTGGAGTTTTTGTTGTTACATGCAAATATCATGTTGCAAAACCATCTACTTTGACTCCAAGAGACTTAACTGACTTTTGCAAGTGAGCGTATACCTCTCTTGACTAGTCTGCCACTCTGCCTTTGTATCTTAGGAATTGGGCCAATTCAATATTTTGCTGATGATCAACAGCGAAGCTCATGGAGTGAGAAAAAACCAACTATGAAGTCACTGACATTCTTGTCACTGGAAGAAATTACAACCAGGGAACCTTACTTAGCACTCTCCACATTGTTTCTCTGCCTGAGAATTCTTTTTTCTGTATTTTCAAAGATTGTATCGAGCGTCAGGGCTTTGTGGGTTTCGTATGTTCCTCATTTAAACTTGCAAATATTTGGGGAGACAAGCCAAGCGATGGGACGTTTTCTTCATGTGATTGATGTCAGAAGGATTTGGACGAAGCTTAGAATGTGCAAGGCTAGGAACTTTCATGTTTGGGCTTCGTCTCTGGCTTCGGTTTCTCTGGGCGAGTCATCATCATCAGCGAGGTGGTCATCACAAGGTTTGAATTAACAAACTCATGCCAGTCCTGTTGAGGCAGTATGAAAGTTCTTTATCAGATAACATCCTCAAGCTGCAGTGATGCTTGGGATCATATGGCCCTCTCTCAAATTTTACTGTTTAGTACCAATAGTTGAATGTCGTTCTTGTTGGAGCTGGGTTTTGGGGGATAGAGAACAGGCATCTAATTTTTGAGTACAGCCTTTGACCCCCCTGTAAATTATATGTGGCATGAAGCAAATTATACACGCGCCACTGGAATTTAACCATCTCTCTATCTCACCTGCGAATAAAACTCACTCGAGATGATTGTTTTTCATGATTCAACTGCCATCTACAAAATTCTGTTATATTGCTATGTAAAATGTGGCTGGAGGGTCAAGATTGCAATAAAGTTCTGTTCGATTGACGCTGTGGAAGGATCCAGTGGATACAAAGTAGGGCTGAAGTATAAATAAGCTCCGACTTCCAAAAAGGCACAATTGATATTCTTGTGTTTTAAAAGGTGTAATGTTGCCCTCAAGTCTTTTAAAATCGAACAATTTTGCCTGCACTAACGGAATTTCCTAATAATTTTAATTTCGTCATATGTGATCCGTGGATTGTTACCATGTGTGGTGGAGATTTTTTTACCATTGCTTTATGTGAGCTCATCTTCTTCTCCAATCTTGCTCACCTTAGTCCTCACTGCACGCCACTTCATCTTAATCCCAATTCCTTTGATTTCCACCGCCATGCCACTCTCAATTGCCACATCGAAGGCTTGCTCAACATTCTCAACACCCTTCACGTTCAACACTGCACCTATGTTGGTCACTCTATCTCTGCCATGATTGGCGGTTCACTAAGCTCGTCCTAACCTTTTTACGTAGCTCGTCCTCATCGACGCTTCTCCTTGGTAAAGTGAATTCAATTTCGAATTAGCTTGTCACCCACTCAACCATATTTAATTCTAACAGCCTTCTCAAATTCGCTTTCGACTTCATGTTTTTCTTTTAGATTTTTGAATGACTCCGTCGGCAAGGCATCATGCTTCTCTCCATTCAACAGTCTAGAATGAAACTCATCATCCATTTTCGCCACTACTCATCGGGATTCAGATCGCCTTCACTCTTTTGCGTCCACGTCCGCCATTCTGTTTGCACATCACATGCACTTTCTGAATCTCTTGAACAGCTCATCGATGTATCTATTTAGTTCTCATGACTATGTGGCCGATTCTGGAGGAATTTGCATTTTAGTAGACGTGGACTATTTAGTGGTTAATAATGGAAATGAGAATTTTGCATTTGTTTTCTAGGTTTGTATATATACTCCTCCAGTCTAGTAGATAAGTCAATTTCTAAAAGCATAATTTGATTCACCTTATAAATCATTTGTTGATGGGATTGTTTTGTTTCAAATTAAAATTTCTAAATTACCCTTAAAAAATAAGAGAAAGAAAAACAGAAAAAATAATATTATATGATCGACTTACTTTTTACTTGATAGTTATGCTTGAAATTTCATTTATTTTTATTCTTTGTATTTTTATTATATTGCTATTGATGAGATTGATATAAATGATTTATAAATAAGATTAGAGGAAGTATATTTTTATTTATTTTGGCTTCTTTATGGAGGAGATTGGGGTGTATTTCTAGGCTATATGCATATATTGCATACCAGAGTTTCTAGGATGCATGCATGTATTATTTCTAGGATTGTAAATCTCTATGCTTTTTTTTTGGGGGGGGGGGGGTTCAGGCAAAGAAGAAGCTTAAGCAAGTGGTCATTGATGATAAGAGGAAGATAAAGATAACAATATAGAGGTGAGGGGAAAGATGAAGAGGTACGAGTGAAGTAGATGAAAAACCAGCCTCCGTGGTAATAATCAAGTGGTCTCCCGCACACGTTGCAACAATATGTATGGATCTCATCTCACAAGATTAACACTGTTTGATCCAGTGACGGATCCAGAAACATTTGTGTGTGGGGGTCAAAATGTAAAATTACACAATAGTGGGGGCTGGAATTAATTTTAGCATTTTTACAAGTGAAAACTAAGGAATTTTAGCAAAAATTTTGTGGCAGGGGGGAGCATCCTTGCTTGCCCCCTAAATCAGTTACTGGTTTGATCATTCTGTTAAAAAATCGGTAAAATTATTCGATTTAAAAAATTGTGAGGATGATATTAAGCTTTTTAAATGTAATGATGCCAATTATGCCTTTTAAAACATAATGATATTAATTGTGCTTTTTTAAAAATTTCAAGATAAATTTATACTTTAACCTTATAAAATATACACAATACTGTATATTAAATTTAACCATTTTGATCTCACTCACAGTGAAGACGTTAGGAATGTGAAAGTAACTCGGAGAAAGTGGATGAAGCCTTGGCTAATAGATATCGCCTATCGCCATAAATTTGAGAGGTGAAAAGGGGAAAGCTCCAATGAAGGCTGTGGACAGTTGTACTCGTGAGAGGCTTCTTCACCTCCCTGCTATTCCGTGCCCATCCTTGTCATTCCAAAACCGCACGTTTTAAGTTTCAACAAGCAACCCCATGAACCGACGTACTCTTTTTCTTTTCATTATTTTTATTAAAAAAATATAATTATCAGTACCTATAATATTATTTGATTTTAAAATTCTTATATTTTTTAATATTTTTAGTCTATATAATTTTTAATAAATTGAGTGACATTTATTTTTTAAGTTTCTGTAGTTTTAATTTTTAAATTTTTTATAAGGCCTGAAAATACTGTAAACAACTATAAAAGTTAAAAACAAAGCCCAGTAAAATCATAAAGATTAATAATTGAATTTTTTTAAATTTTATTGATCCCTCTAAATTAAATTATAAAAAAGAATCTCTTCTTTTGTGGTGAAAAACCCTCTCTCTTCCTCTTTTTAACCCCGGGAAAATAAAAAGGAGAAGAAGCTGGTAGCTTTGCTGTTACTCATCTTTCTCCTCACGCATATATAATCAATTCAAAGTCCGCCTCCTAAAGTTATCCGCACAATATTATTTGCTTTAGCATCCTTAGAAATTGGAATAAAACGCAGTTCAAAATTAATATACATATTGTGTGTGTGTGTGTGAATATATATATATGTATGTATGTATGCATGCATGTATGTATGCAAGAATCATAGAGCAGAGGCTAACGGCCAATTGGCCACGGTGGGGCCACGTAGACTATTCTCAAGTTTGTTCCTTTCGTGATGGATAAGCACTCAAGCCATGAAAAACGCTGGTGGCTTGTGAGTTTGAGTCTTCTCTCCAAGAGCGACATGACACCGTAATGGTGGCCTGCTCTTGATCGCATATGAAATTCCACTTATAACTTCATGAAAGCCACCTTCTTCGACTCAATTATTCAACTTCCATCATTCAAACATCCTGCCTTCTATTATATAAACCAGCCTTCACTCTCGCCACCCTTCCAGATCCAGAAATCCTCCCGACATGGATTTGGACCTCGATGAGTGGGATTTCCTGTCTGATGATGGCTTCCTTGATTTCAGTGAAGATGGTCAGAAGAAGGTTTTCTTGGGAAAACATTACTCCGATTCAGTAAGCGTTTTCGACCCGGATTACTTCATTTGCCCTTCGCCCAGGTCCCTGAAAAGCACCGAATCGCCCAGGAATTCAAGGCTGCCAAATCAACTTGTTCCTGTTCCAATCCCAATTCGATTGGAACCCAGAAGTCCGAATGATGAGATCGCGAAGGAAATCATCGCTAGGAATCCTATTGAGGTCCCGTCAGCTTCGGTTCAGAAAACCAGAGGCTCCCAGATTGGGGGCGTGGAAGCTGATCAAGACTCTGTCTCACAGGTTTTCTTCAAAATGAAGGAAAACGAATTCGTCGACATGAAAATGGACTCACCCAAGTCTGGCAGCAAAGGAATGTTGCCTCCAATTGATACCATGAAATTCGATGACAAAGGAGAAGCCATGGAAATCATGATCTCTCCCCAGCTCAATATCGAGAAAGGAATACTTACCCACAAAGAAGATCAGGACTCCATTTGGGAACACAACAAAGATGGGTTCAATTTATGGAAGTGGAGCTTCACAGGAATTGGAGCTATATGTTCCTTTGGCGTTGCTGCTGCTACAGTCTGTATCCTGTTCTTTGGTAGCCACCAAAAGAACAAACTCCACCACAACCACAAGATTCGTTTCCAGATCTATGCCGATGACAAGGTATACCTAGAATTTCTCACAACTCTCATCGGTTTCGTTGTCTGTATATTCTATTAGACCATAACTGTGTATATATTATGGATTGTGAGTTGAATTTGATCAAAACCCTTGAATGATGAACTGCTACTTGGGCGTGATTGCAGAGGATCAATCAAGTAATGCAGCAGGCAAACAAAATGAACGAGGCAATTTCTGCAGCAACTGGTGTTCCTCTGAGCAGAGCCCACATAACCTACGGTGGCTATCACAATGGTCTCTAAGAACCTTAAAATATTAGATCATATCTCCTGGTATTACTATTATATAGTTTTGTGCATAAAATTACGAGTTGTAATTCTTATCCCTCTTGTTTGCAGTCCTGTATATCTGTGTGCTGTAAATGGATTTTAGCTTGTAATGCAGTCTATTATACTTCCAATTCGCTGCTGATTGCTGTTTGGGTATTTGATATTCGAAGTTGCCAGCTTGCAGAGTAATGGCAAAAAAGAAATCCATTTTTAAAATAGCGGGGGGGGGGGGGTGTAAATTAATGACATTGAAAATTTTGTGTGGGTTACACTTTGATCAAGTAATAGCATGTGGTGTGACAACAATAGTGTTTTATTTTTCTTGACTCAAGCCTAAAATAGAAGTTCTAAGAAATCATGTTCCGGAAAACTTTTGGTTTTGTTTTTAAAATATCATTAGCAGGCAGAAAAGGAAATATGGACCAACCCATCTCACGTGGATTTTGAAAAAATATGTTAGGTTGAAGTTAACTTATTTTTATATGATGATTTCAGTTAAAACTGTAAAAGTTGATAGATTAAATGAGATAATCCACCAATCCATTTGACTTCTTTTTTTTTTTTAGAAAAAATCATGCGTAAATAATACATATCAATATATATATGCAACTTAAAATTTACATTATAACAATAAAACATAATTATCAAAATAAATTATAATGAAGATATAATCATTCATCATAATTTGTGATCTACCAAACACGAGCTTAAAATAAACATGAATCATGTCATGTCTATCAAAATCCACAAGTCAGAAATGAGGGCGTCAAAGCTTAGGCCAACTTGGAGGGAGAGAAGAAAATAATAATCAAACACATTAGGGAGGAAGAGTTGGACACAACTGAGGCATCTAGGTTGAGATCTTTTTTATTTTTTATTTTTCAATTTTTTGGCTTCTTTTATTTTTTATTTTGATTGATAAGTGTTGGAAATTTGGAATTTTTTTATTTCCCTTGATATTTTAATTTTTTAAAAAATATGAGCTAAGTAGGTCAACACTAACTCATATGAGTTGACATATTTGATTTATGCCTAAATGGTCTGAGTTAAAAAAAAAAAATCTTTTTATTTGGGTCAAGTTATTTTTGTAATGCGATCTATATAGCAAGTTATTAGAATCAATTTGTGTAATCCAACTCATATTTTCAGCTTTATTATTAGGCAGGTATCCTATACGGTTCACCGATCCTACACGTTTTTCCCTCGTGATCCGTAGTAAATTTATAGGATATGTTTTGCAATTTATTATGATGAGAAGGTTGCCAAGCAGTTGAGGGGAAATGGTAAGAATGTATTCTATTTCCAAACATGTTTTCCTTTCCGAAGATACAGATACCGATAAAGTGCAGCAAGACAAATAGGTTGATGTGAAATACTTTCTTGTTGGTTCTACTCACGTCTCGCGGACTGAATGAGTCCAAGCTGCACACTGGTGAGATGCCCTACACGCATAGCTCTCAAGATATTTATGATACGGAACAGTGACACAGCTGTGAGAAGGAGATGGAATGATCGTCGAACCACCAAAAATAGATGGGATCAAGTGTAGGGAGAAGGGGTGTTCCATCACACAAATGGCACACGGTACTGTTGATTGTGGCTGCATCGTCAAAACTGGTGACGTGGAGGGCAATGGAATGGCAGAAAAGGCACGGCGATATCATGGACCATCTCGGGGTGCAGTGTACTTTGCAGGCAAGTCACTGCATCGTATATCCCATTCGGGTCTTTGTGACATGTGGGGGTATCAATTATTCAAGATTCAAGAAAAGGTTAGGGCTCGGAACCCTGTGGAATCTTATTACCTATTCCGTGTCCCCCTCTAAGAAGTCAATCATTTTGCTGCTTGCGTTGCGGCATTTTTTTTTCTTTCCATCCACTTGTCCCTTTTCTTTTTTCTTTTTTTTTTTGTCGGACCATGAAGGTTATGGACTTAATACATACTCAGAAAGTAGAAAAATCACCTTATTTTACTATGGGACAAAAAAAAAAGTCAAGGCTTGCTAATGGGCCGGGATTGATGCCAGATAGTTGATATGGGCGACTAAAGCGCCAGAATTGGGACTCTGTTGCTTTCAGAAATCTGCTCCTGACATGTTTATTTCTTGGGCTGGGGGGCTAGGAAATAGGGAAGTTGAGGAAATACATACGGCCCAAAAATTGTCGGGTGATGATCAAGGCCTAAAAATTACCATTTTTTGAATTGAAAGTTTGATTTCTGGAACACAAATTGTAATTCGTACCTGGGATGGTATGTCTGCGGTCTGCCAAAGAGGCATGCATCAGATTAAGAATCAGAGGATATTCAGGTAATTAAAAAGTAACGTAACTCAAATAGGTGGGGCCCTAAAAGAGAGATGGATATAGGAGGTTAGTTGAATTGAGAAACGTGTATTAAAGATCAACTCAAGAGGGCAGGACAAGAACAAGAGCAGTAGGATGTGAGGAGTGACCGAGAAGATAAACAAACAGGGATGTTGCCTGACCTCCCTGAATGAACGTAAAAGTTTCATCGTTAATATGAGCCTCTTTTGAGCAGGAAGCCGCATTCCGCCTAACCTCTCAGCTTCTGTAGAGGCCAGAATTAGGTTTTAGGGTTTGGGAAGCGAACAAGTGGAAAGCGACAAGCGTTCAATCAATTCTGTGTTCTGGAGCAGAGCATCGCATTCGCAGTTTTGCACCGCGGATCTCCGCTACCTCCAAACCTAGTCCTCACCCCCCTGCCCTTAATCTCTGAATAATATACGTGCCATCTCGTTATCTGGAATCAATCACCATACCGCCTTTTGTTGTCGTTGTTATTTCTCGAAGCAAATAATTTTATATATTTTTCTTTGGGAGAAAGCGGAAATATTTTAGTTTTAATTCAAAGTGAAATTTAAAAATAGTGAATTAAAAAGGAAGAGAAAGGAAGGAAGAACTAAGTGATAAAAATAAAAGTACAATTTTATTAGGAATGGTTGTAGAAAACAAGGGAGGAAATTATAAACGAAGAAGAGGAGAATGAATGCATGCACAATAATAATAATAATAATATACACAAGAGACTCAGCAATGAGCACTCAGAAGACGAGGGCGAGTGCGACAGCAACGACGGAAGCAAAAGCGGAAGGCAGGAAGAGGGTGGGCGGAGCATCAGATGTGGGAGTCGGCGCTGGTCCTTCTGCCGCCGACGCCGCCATCGCCATCGCCATCATCATCATTATAGCTGCCTTCATCCTCATTCCCTCCATTTTCCTCTCTCTCTCTCTCTCTCTCTCTCTCTCTCTCTCTCTGTGTTTCCTGATGGCTTTGCTGCTTCACAAACTTGACGCGCCAATGCAAGGCCTGTGTGGTCGAGCAGCTTATTATATATGTACTCATTCATTGTTGATTGTGACCCAGGCTTCTAATGCCTGCCCGCCCTTCTCTTTTTGAATTGTTTTGACACTATATGAGAGCTGCCCCACCTGCCCGTTTGGTGAACAGGGTGTTTTTCAACCGTTTCTACCTGCCTTCCAGCTGTCCCCCACGCCCCTCTCTTCTTCTATTCCCCTTTCTTTACATCTTTTCCCCTAAATAATACGATTATCATACACTAATATGCATATATTAGAAAAAATAATAGTAAATGTTACCTCTACTAGTAATTTAATTAATACTGTATTTTGCTTCCTTTGCGAGAGGAAGTTGGAGTACTCTTACTTTTGGACTCTAATGTTCTAATGGTTTTGTTGTCATGCCGCAGCTATACTTTTTACATTATGTTATATATTGCCAAATGTTTAGCTTTGTCCAATCCGTGGGGGTTGCTGACTGTCAGGCTGTTCATGAAATTTGTCTTCTTCTTCTGTCTCCAATATATTTAATTACTTATTGTTGTCCTAGTTGTCGCGTATCTCTTGAAGATTTTATCGCCCATAATCACATTACCTTATTCTTCTCAAGATCCCTTGCGGGTTCATAATTCGGGTTGCCAAATAATTGGCTGATTTCATCGAGCTCATCCTTTTTGTGCTGGCCACGTGGTTTGTGATTGTTGTTGTTTTTATTTATTTATTGAGTATGATAATCTATAATGTTTGTTATCGGCCCATGGGTTGGCGCCCCAACAATAAAAAAGCAGCCGAGTTTAAAGTTGAATTCAAAGTTCCAAGCCTCGCTTTTGCCAGAGTTGGGGTTAGAAATCGGAACAAATTACTGATGAGAGGGAAGGGTTGGTGAGGAAATAGCGTTGCGTCACATCTTGCTTCTTGGCTTTTAAAGCTTCTGGAAGACCGTTTCAATTCAAACTTTTGTTTTTTTGTTTTTTGTTTTTTATTTTTCCGGAAGGCCATGCTGACGTGTTCTAACGGTTATAACTTGCCTAAACTAAGGCATTGGAATTGAACGGGACATCACACACCCTCTATTGGCTACTTCTCAACTGGGGTGGAAAATCATGCCCTTACATCCTGATCTATTTCAATCTTGATCTAACTTATTGATTAAATAAGTTTAATTTATAAGCTCAATGGGTGGATTTATTTACATACACATATTATATATAATATTACATACATATTAATTTCACAATTTAATTTTTAATCAATATATATTTTTTAAATGTCTAGTTATGTTTTCACTCAAGTTAGACTTGTATGTTGATTTTAATATTATTATTTTATTATTGTATTATAGTTGTTAATTTTTTTAATTATTATATATTGTAATTGATAAATCAAGCTATATAGTTATATTAATAGTCATAAAGTATATTCGAGGCATTTAAAACTAAAATACAAGCTTATTTAAAAGGTTTAAGCTTTTGGCTAAGCCAAATTTAGGTAGGCTCAAATGAGAAAAGCCTTGTACATGCTTTAAATCAGGCCAAAGCCTCTGACTTACCACACAAGCTTGAATCCATTGTATTAGAGCACTTCTCGTGCACCTTCCCATTTGAGTATACTCCTCTAGTGTTATTTGTAGAGTAGTGAAAATGTACTTATTTTTGTCATATTCACGAGACATCTTAATAATTATTATACTTATTTGTAACTTTTTGTTTTAATTAAATAATAAGAATGCTATTAAACGTTAGAATATTTTTTTAAAAGCATTTATTTTGACTAAGGACAAGTTGAACATTTATTGAATTTTTAGAAAAAATTAATAATATTTAAAATTTTTCCTGTTCTGGTAAAAATATTAGAAGTAATTTATAAATAAGATTGGAAAGGATGCACGCTTTAAAAATAAATTATTATTATATTTAATAACCTCTCTAATATTTAGTAGTTAGCAGAGGATAAAGATGGACAAAATAATTTTTAAGATGTTTTTTAAATAAAACCAACACAAATATCTTTTTCATGACTTATACACAGCACCAGAGCAGTATATATTTTTTAACAAAAGGTATCCCCAAATTAGATCAAAATGAAAGCTACTATGGTTGCTAACCAACGTTATCGTATGTATTAATCAGTGTCATGGTTTTTTAGCTCGGATATAATTATTAATTGTGGCCTTGAAGATATCACATTCAATAATGATTGTACATGTATTTTAGAAAGAAGACCAGGTCAAGGCACTGCCTCCATGCTCCACCTGTGGTATTCAAATTGTGGGAGTGGGAAAGATAACCATGCCAGAGAAGCTGCTCTCTAAAATCAATGGAAGTGGGCCCGTCTTGGGTACTTATTACCATGGTAAAATATATAAACGTAAATCATTCAGATTTAATATTTTTTAAATTTTTAATTTTATTTTATATTTATTAAAATAAAAAATTATAAATATTTCAGTAAATAATTTAATATCAATTAAAATAGTACAAATTTGATTTATATAGTTTAATTTAATATTCAAAATTTTATAATTTTCATATATTGACTATCCAAATATATTCTACATAATCCAGATTTAATATTATAAATTTTTATAATTTTTAATTTTTAAAAATAAAATATTAAAAATTAAAATATATAATTTCCTAAATGTTATTTTTTTTAAATTATAAGTTAAAAATTTTAAATATGGCTTGTACATAATATGTCTATATAGTCAATATATAAAAAATTTAATATTAAATTAGACTCTCAAAATTAAATATTGACTAAATTAGTCATAAAAATATTTATTTTAATTTTTTGTAATCCATTTTTTAAAGTATAAAATTATTTCCTTCAATCTAGGTCGTTTAGATTTTATCAACCTAATGGTGCTTATCAAAGTGATGAATACTAAAGACAAGTTCCACGAAAGTGAAGATCATGGAGAAATCCAAACTCGTCTATAAATAAAGGAGAGGCCTCCCTCTAAAAACATGGATCACCAATCAGGAACTACCGCTCAATGCAACATTTAGATGTAGCCTCTTCTACTCGTGTTTTAGCTTCCCATTTAACTCTAGCCTATATTTAACCTTCAATCTTCTTTATATTTTCAAACCAACCTTTTCCCCTTAATTTAGCTCATTTTCATTTTGGCTATTTACTTTCCTTAGTAAGTTGACTCTAGCCTACATCCATTCTTTATCCAATACATATTTTGTTAGGAAAATTATAGATAAACCCACCCATGGATTACAATGTTTAAAAAGTTTGATGAAATACTTAAATAATTCCAAAGTCCTATGGATTTTACTTGTAATTAATTATTGGGGTAGATTTATCAAAATATCCTTCTTCTTTTACTCTCCTCCCAACATTCCTAAAACCACCTTGAACCTAGTCAGAATTACACACACCAGACCATCTACTTCTTCACCTTCATCTGCAAGCACGCTGCCCTCTTAGTATTTCCACATATATAATTTTTCTTGAGAGTGTATTTTCAAGAGCAACAAAGTCTCTTACCAAGGCCACTAGTTGTCACCAAAGCTCTAGTCACCTTCTTCACTCCCTTCCCCTTACATTTCCCTCTACTAAATTCGATCCAGCTATTGTCATTGTCATTGCCTTCAATTTGCCACCATTATGGTAAGACATCCCTCTTACTATAGTGATAACCAACAACCAACAATGCCATTACATTAGAAGAGTTACAGCATTGAGATAGGAGGAAAGAGATGATGGGAAAAATAAAAACATTGATCAAAGAGAGAAAGTGTATGGTGATTTCTTGATGTCTATGCAAGTATTGCAAATGAAGAAGGTGGTGGGTGCACTTCCATCTCAAGTTAGATGGTTTTTAATTGATCAAGTGAAGGTGGTACTTCTCTTCTTCCTCTAGCTGCTCCTATAAACCATTTAGTTGAAGATCTGTATCCATTGAATCATAGCCAATCAATGAAGCTTTGTAAGACATTTGTGTATTCTTTGCAAGTATGCTAGGGCGTGCTTTGATAATCAAATTTACCCTCTGAAAAAGACCCATCATGTTGAATTTTTATACCCATCACACCTTGATGCTCAAGCTTTTTTGTAGCACACCAATTTTTTTTAAATAATTTAACTCAATCATAGTTGGGTTACAGCCACCCAACACATTTTTATATCAATAATTTCAATATAAAATATCTTATAATTGACTTCAACTCACACAATATAACATTTCAGATAAATTTTTACCACCCACGTGCCATTAGGCCAAATCACATTTCTCCATCCTTATACTCCAAACAAGTAAATTAAATCACATTTATCCATCCTTATACTCCCAACAAGTAAAATACCTAATTTAGTCAATTTTCAAAACAAGCCAGTTATTTGACCTCATAATCATGCCATTTTAACCAATTCAAAGTAAATCAAATATTAAATTTACAGTTATCCAAAGTGTACCAAAAATAGAAATAGTTTGAAAGCATGATTACATTTATATATTCATATAATTGTCAATAAACAAAAAGACCTAATATTGGCAATATAAAACATTATAAATTGTAAATTAAATACCTAAAAGGACAGTGGATCTATACCACTAAGCCTCTGGGACTCCTCCACGTGTCACTCGTGGCTCTTCTCCTGAAAATTGTTAACCACATAATGAGACTCAAAAGTCCCAGTAACCAAAGCCAATTTATGATAGTGTGTACAAACAGTTAAGTGTGTATTTATTAAGTAAAAATTAAAAATAATATAATTCTAATAAATATAAGAAATATTACAATACACACAAATAACCATCATTATATCCCTCCATTAACCTCGAGCCGTAACCTTCACTCGGTGCTAAATTACCTGACCAAAGGTAGATTAGCCCGAGCCCTTACAAGCCACCTATTGATCTCCAATAGGGACGTACCATGTGGCACATAAATACAACAACAATATCAAATCTCCCAACACCTCCCACAATAATCAAACAAATTCATAATAATATTGCACAATTATACAATATTACAAAAATTCATAATTTTCTCAATAATCACCCAATTAATATGAAGTAACACTAATCACAAGTTAAAAGCATGGTTATCTCTTGGTTTTTTCAATAAATTATTCCTTATAATTTCTCTCCCACCACAATCTTCACCAATAATACAATCTACAAATAACATATTATTTATAAATATTAGTTTCAATTTTTGAAACTAATAAAATAATTCTAATAATAGAATTAAAAATATAACATAATTTCTAATCTCAATCTTAATACAAATTCAGAGTTAATACTATTAAGTAAAATTTTTAACTCCTCTTTTACTCATCAATAAACATTAAAAATCTAAAAATTAAATTTTAAACTAATTTCTATTATTTAAATTTTTTTATTTCATAAATTCGCACCTAAAATACTCAACAATTGAAAATTGAGTCTCAAGCTTAGAATCATAATTCTATAGCCATAATAATTCATTTCTCATCCCAAGTAATCATCTAAATCTCAATAAATTAACATATATTTTTAGATTTAATAAAAATTTAGTTTAAAATTTGATCCATAAGTCACAAATTCAAAGATCATCAATAAATTTATACTCTAGAATATTTATTATACTACTAACAACCTCAAAAACCATATTTATTTAACATAAATTCACCTCTCTTTCAAATCCTAAATTTTCTACCACCTTAAAATCAAAAACCAAAGAGGAAAGATGACTAAGAAAAAATTTTAGAACACATACTTAGTCTTGAAAAGCTTGAAATCACACCCTAAATATCCTATCAAAAACTCTTACCTTAAAACCCAGCACTGGCGAACTTGCGCACCGTCACCCCCTCTGTTCGCGCACGAAGAGAAATGAAAAAAAAAGGAGAAATGAAGAAATAAAGAAGGAGGTGGGTTTTTAAAAAAAATACTGTGGGTCTCACATTTTTTTATTATTTCTTCTTTCCTCTCTCTTCTTTCTTTTTTTATTATGATTATATAAACATAATCATTGCACCGGGAGAGCGCTGAAAGTTTACTTCTTCTTCCCTTTTTTTGTTATTCATACCTTTTCTCTTTTTTTATAATAATAATAATTTAATAATATATTTTTTAATTAATTAATTAATTTATTTTTTTTAAAATTAATTTAGAATTATATCGTAAGTTAAATTTAATAATTATTTTCTACTAATTTACTTATCTCTAAATATTTTTAAAAATTTTTATTAACCTAAATTAATTATTAAAATTTAAATTAAAATGTTAATTTTTTATATGCCGTTTTAAAATATCATCATCTTCCTTTGAAGTACCTTTCAATGTCTTGCCAACAGTGTCATTTAAGGGTGCCATTAACGATTTGGAACCTTAGCCATTGTGGGAGGAGAGGGGAGTCCAAGGGGTGTGAAGTAAGGATATTTTGGTAAATTCATCTTAAAAATCAACTACAGTTAACGTCTATGGCATTTTGGAGTTATTTGAGCATATCATGGGACTTTTTAGAAATTAGAACCTATTCGTGGGACTTTTATGCGATCTTTCTTATTTTGTTTTGGGGAGAATCTTGCTAAAGTCCTTGTAATCAAGATATTCACAGAAAGAGTCAATAAAATATGATATTATTTTGTAGGTGTAAGGACCTCGGTCATAATTAAAATTCTTATTGAGATGACGTAAATGCTCCCCCCCCCCCCTCTCTCTCTCAAGTCACTATCAGCGATACCAACGAAGCTCCACCACCAACGGGGAGGCTGCCATCATCGGTGGCTAAAGCAATGGTTAAACATGGTCAAACGTTTCAAAGGGAAATTTGAGCTCTTAACCCCTTGGTTGCTCAAAAAACATTTTATCACTCACTTGTTAAAGCTCTTGAATTATATATTAAAAACATAATATATATCATAACGTTTGTTTTCAAGCATACGTGTGCGTTGCTATTAATTACAGACACGTTATTGTTAATATCCGAGCATGACTTGTTAATACATAAAAAAATTATCACTTTTTAACATTTAACTTTTTTAAAATTTTACAACTCATTTTTTCATTATTGATTAGATGTCAATATTATGTTAAATAAATAAATATACATTATACATTTATTTTTTAAGTATTTTTGTGAGCTTTATTTAATCATTAACATGTTATTAATATTTGAGTCATTATTTATAAATATTTAAATATAATTTATTAATACATAAAAAAATTAAAGGGTAAAAATAGCCTGTAATTTTGTTTTGAAGGGTGTTGGTATTCTAGACTTTTACCTGGAACGATTTTATCTAAAAAAAAGGGAATAACTTCGCCCTATGGTTAACCTAACAAATTGTTGGCCATTAAACCTTGCCATTGACTAATAACTTTACACGTTGCCTTTTCCTTCCTCTTGCTTCTTCTTCTCTTTCCTCATCTTGTTCAGAGCAATTAGATCCAACTCTGCTCTTACTCGATGAAATCAACGAGTAAGCACACCCAGCCTCTCAGTCCTACTGTTGATCTTGTCCATGTCCATGAACGCGAAGTCAAAAGAAAAGCCAGAAGTTGGGACGAGATACCGAGTTCCTAGATACCAAACACTTCGAGTTCTTGCATTTGTTGAGGGTTGTGTCGGTGATAGCTTCCTTTGAGGGTTGTCGGCGGCGTTCTAACGATCGCTGGAAGTGGGACCTTCCTTGTTATTACTACCAGATCTACTTTTGTGTTCTCCTTTCTTGCTTGACTGCTTCTTCTAGCCCAACATTTGACTCGGAGCTCTCATGCATTCTATCCGCATCCCCTTGTTGCTCATCAAGTTTTGTTTGTTTTATTCCAAGAGAATAAAAAAATAAATAATCAAATCCTATGCCTGTTTGTGTTGTGTTCTGGCTCTGTTCAAGCTTTTTATTTTTTGTCCATGGAGAATTGCCTACTTCATCTTTTCTCAAAGTCACGATGACTGGAAATCAAGGTTTGAGTTAGACAAGAAAGGGTAAGAGATTAAAGACTTGATTGTGGAGAATGAAGGGGTTGAGGAGATATATGGCGACGTTGTCCCTGACAGGACTAACCATAAAAGCTTCTAGAGTAGGTATTTTTATACGATGCATAGACTAAAGTGGACGGAGGATTCTAGAGCCATGCTTGTGGAGTGTGCAATTTCTAGTGACAAGGAGGAGGATTTGGGTTGGGATCTTGATGATGACGGTGAAATTAAAGAAGCTGGGAAAATTCCGTCGAAGTTGCTACATGTGAAATTAAAGAATTATAGTTCATGTGTGGCACTTTTTTTTGGGACAAACTTATAATAAAAGGATAACAAATCTCTCCCGCTCCTCTTTCTCACGGCTTCTATTTGCTTTCCTTTCATCCACCAACTTCAATCTTCATCATCCTTCAAGGCTGATGCTGCACAAGGTAGATGCTTGTTGATTTATTCTTTATGATTTTTGGGCTTATTTAAGTATGTGAATTAGTCTAAGAAAAAAGGAACGGGGAATAATGTGATAAATATAAATGTTTCCTTTGCTCTTTGTTATTCTGCTATTTCATCTTGCTCTGTTTTGCTGTGAATGTTCCCTTGGAACGTTAGCCTTGTGGGGTACAAGATGAAGGAGAAAGTTTCGATAAGAACAAAGTAGAGCAAAATGGGGACGAGGAAGGCGGCGTACGAGATAACTGCAGAAGAAAGTTTTGATTTTTGGAGGGAAGGAGGTAGACGGCCAACATGTTGAATTTTTGGAGGGACCAGTATGCGTGAGGGAGGGCTGTAATGAATTCTTGGGTTTATTTCACCAGCAGTTACAGTTACTCTCAAAATTCTCAAATCCATTGATCTAATCTAACAACAAAGAAGCAGCCACGCAGCGCCACTCACTCTGTGCTTGTAATCAAGACACTGATGGGATCCAGATCCCTCTTCTCATGTTCAAGGAAATGATCCAGAAAGAGCCTGACAAAGTCTTGTCCAGGGTGCAGGATATGATTGCTCTGAAGCAAGGCGAGGAAAGAGAAGAGGAAGGAGAAGGCAACACGTGTAAAATCAGTCAAAGCCAATATTCAACGGTCAATAGTTAGCTAGGTTAACTGTGGAATGAAATTGCCATCTTTTTTAAAATTTTGAAGGTAAAATTGTCCCAAACAAAGGTTAAGGTTATCAGACATAAAAAAAATATTTTTATCATTTAATTTTAAATAAAAAAAGTTTTTAATTTTTAAAAACCAACATATTTAATTTATTTTACAACTTATTCATTTAACATTAATGAGTTATCAATATTATCATAAAATAAAAACATATAAATATAATAAATTTATTTTATAGACATTTTATGAGCTCTAATTAATCATGAACTTGTTGTTTTTAATATCCGAAACATAACTTATAAATATTTAAACATAAATTTGTAATAAATAAAGAAGTTTTTAATTTTTAAAACTCAACTTGTAAGAATCATATAAACATTTTTGTTTTCTGTTCATGCATATTGCTTGCCACTCTTTAAAAATAAATGAAGGAACGCAGGATGAGATGCTTCTGGGATCTGGCCTTAAAAACAGACGCTTCCAATGAAAACCGAGAAGGCCGGACAATGCATCTATCATTCCCGGCGCACTAGCATGACAAAATTCTCGTTCCTTCTCAGACTAAATTTGGGCTTTGGAATTTGGAAAAGTTATTTCTGATTATTTTAGCAAAATAAAAAAAATGATTAAATCATTAATTATTAATTCGATTCAAAAATATAATAATCTTTCAATTTTATCCTTATTCATATGAAGAATTTTTAAATTTTTATCATATTCTTTCACATATTTAATACATTTAAATAGGAATGATTTTGTAAATCATAATTAATATTCCATTGAGTATCTTATTAAAAATTAAATAATTTTTCTACGATACATCTTGTAATGGAGATTGAAGAAAGCATATAATTTTTAAAACCCAGCCCCCAACAACATATAATGGCTCTATTAAACAAATGAAAATCCATGACAAAAAATCAATATAAATATGCCAAATTACATATAAAAAGCCAATTTATCGAACGTGATACATTTTTATTTTCACCGAGTGTTAAGTTTCGGTGCCAAGAATACCTCCTGAAGAACCATCCAAGCATGTCAATTTGTGACTTGTGAGAAAACATTAGTTTAGGCTATGTGAATATACCTTTGAATTCCTGTATTGCGTGACGTTACTGATAAGATATGAACGGCATGTAATTAAGTTTACTTTAGATGGTGAGTATTTTATTATGATCATTCAAATAAGGATATTTGGAATATCTATTACATTATTTAGGATTTAATTAGATTTTCTTATCAATATTTATTTATTTAACTTTTATTTATTTTCAATAAAACAGGTATCTAGATAAATATAGATTATTTTATCACACCTCAAGACTAGATTAGGATTTGATTTATTAAGATATATTCAGGAATCTTTAAATAGTCTTAAAGTTTTACAATTGTATTTAGACAAATTTTGAATATTGAATAAAGAGTTATTGTTTTCTCAACTCGCCTCTCTCACGCCCTTCGGCCCTTCCCCATCCCCGTTTCACATCAATTTTCTATCTTACATATCTCCAGGGCTATGCCACACAGCAACTTAATAATGGGAGAATGACAGAAAAATATTAAAAAAATTAATTAATTTAAATTAAATTTTAAGTGTTAAATTTTAAAAACTTATAACTTGTATTTTAAATTTTAATAAAAAAATAAATTTTAAAAAATAAATTATAAATTTATCATAATGTAATTGTAAAATTGAGGGATTGAATTATAAATTTTTATAATTTAACATTTATGATCTAATTTAAATTAAATAATCCGAAAGATACTTTTGTGATTCTCCCCGTAACAATTCTTGGTTGGCACGTGGTATTTAATTATTTTTTTTTGTTGGTAAAATGTGATATTTAAATTTAAATGCAAAAGATATACCTAATCACTTCAACATAATAACAACTAACTTCAACCAGCAATCTGAAGACAAATACTCCCTCCAGTTTATAGGATATTTTTCAGAAGAATTTTTTAATTTTTAATATTAAATATTCGATGCAATATCAACTCTAAGAATAAGAAGGTTGTATAAATTTAAATTTTTTATTTAAATAAAAATAAAATTTAAAATTTATTATATATTTTTTAAAATTAATTATTTAACTTTTTTTAATTTCAATGAGATACTTAAAAATATTTTATAATAATAAAAATAGGATGGATTAATTTATAAACATGACGGTGAATTCGGAGACGATGGCAAGTTGCAAAGAGAACAAACGAACAAATTCAAAATACATTTTTTTTATTATCCCAATTATTGGAAAAGACTGTGATTGTGCGAAAATCGAAGATACGTGCGAGCGTGCGAAGGACCCGGAAGTCGAAAGCCACGAGGGGGCTGAATCTAACCGCTCATCCCCTATCCAACGGGTCTAATTGTCTATAGTTATTATCATCACTGGAGAAAGAAGGATAAGTAGAGGGAAAGAGCAGGAAGGGTAGAAGAACATAGGAGAGAAGGCGCACTGAGATATCAGAGGAATAGAGAACACACGCTGCACCACGCACGGCCCCTTCTGCAAGGCACATCGAGAATCGAAGGATAGTCTGTCACAAGGCTGGAAATCTGACAACTGGAAAGATCTATAATTTGTTTATCTCGGAGGAAAATTCGTTCTTTTGCAGAGGGAAATCGATTTCTTCCATTTTTCGGGACGTGGAGATATACCATTGTAAGGTTTATTTTTCTTGTTTTCATTTGCGGTTCTCTCGCAAATGGATTTCCTATCTCCGATCATCCTTCTAACCTGGGCACTTCTCGTTTTGCAGGCTAGTTTAGCGAGGATATCAGTTCACCTATATGCTATACGCATAGATCTTGAAGTTGGAGGAAATCAGAATTGTTCCTTGACTAGGCCATTTTTACCAGTGCTCTGCTGAGTTTTGTGCAAAACCCAAATCGTCATCCGTTGGCGGTCTCTGACAGTCCTCCATTGGGCTTCTCACCTCCGGGAATCCGATTGTGAGGAGAGTGGGTGCGTGCTCGAAATCTCCCTGATTCTGGTTTCTTACCTTGGGCTTCAATTAACTTGAGAAAATTTCTGAGGTTCTTAGTTCATTATGGAAATATAAGTCTCCTTGAAGATTGAAACATGCTTGTTTTGTGTTTTATTCATGGCAGCTATGGAGACGGAAGAGAGGAATCAGAGGGGTTATAAAGGCTCGGAGTCAGAAATTTTCTTGCAGTGGGGCAACAGAAAGCGGCTCCGTTGCGTGAGGGTGAAAGACCCTCGGGCATCAGCGCGATTAAACGGTGGAATCCGAAGGAAGATTTCATCGGCAGCAGATCGTTCAGGGATCACAGCTTCTGACAAAGAAAACACTCATTTCCAGCCCAATCGCTTCACAAGGTGAGAATAGCGGAGGGATCTTCTATTTTCTTCTCCTTCTCATTCTCTAACTCTGGTCGTTGGGAGACATTATGAAGGAAAATGAAATAACGAAGCTAAGGCAGGAAATTTTCCCCCTGTGCAGGAATTCAGATGGGTCTACGCTTCGGTCCACCGGCGTAGAGACTAGGAAATCGGCGTCACCGGAGAAGGAGGATCGGTACTATACCACGAGAGGGTCTGCGGCAGGCGAGGACAACGGTAAAGTTTCGGGGGACGGGAATAACGGGGAGGAGAGAGCGGCGGTGTGGCCAAAACTTTACATCGCGCTATCCAGTAAAGAGAAAGAAGAGGATTTTCTGGCCATGAAAGGCTGCAAACCCCCTCAGAGACCCAAGAAGAGGGCGAAGATGATTCAAAGAAGCTTACTTGTGAGTGTCATCTTTGTTTTGCCCCCACTCTTGTTCTTTTAAATTTGCTTCTTTCCCTTGTTTCTCTCTCTCCTTATTTTTTCTTGTTGTGATGGAGTTGTCTTGGTGAATGGTTGTGTGTGATTGGTGGATGCAGTTGGTGAGTCCTGGGGCGTGGCTGACTGATATGTGCCAGGAGAGATATGAAGTGAGGGAGAAGAAAAGCAACAAGAAGGTGGGCTGTTAATAATGTCCTAGACTTTTAATTGTAATTTGTGTGGGAATATTTATCGAGAGCGCTAATGGATGTGTTTTTGATGCACATGATGCAGAGACCGAGAGGATTGAAGGCCATGGGGAGCATGGAAAGCGATTCAGAATGATGCAGGCCCGTGAGCGCGAGGTGGGAAAATAGTCGGACATGACCACGCTGGATTATGATCAAATGTTTTTGATGATGTAACTTGTGATGCCTGTGCTGGTGATCTTGAAAACGTTCAAATATATATCAATGAATGAATGAAAATGAATTATATGAGGATTTCGGTAATTGTGTTATGGGTATGAATAAAGGGAGTGGATGATATGGGATATTGGGATATGATTAGTCGAGATGTATAGACTTATGGGTAGCAGAAGCAGGACAAGAAGATGCTACTAGTCTGTCTATATTGGAGGGTGGATTGGGATTTTTAGTTAAGTGCCCACTCCCTCACTCGCATCCCTGTTTTACCTTGGCGTTTTCAATTCAATAGCATCTCATTTGGGATGCTTTAATTTTTTTTTTTTTTAACCCATGGTGGTTGCCTCACGTGAAGCTTCATTATCCTGCGCTCAAAACAACTTTGAAATCTCACGTCAAGTGGGGTATGTTTCCGCACTCAAATTCTGTTGCTGTACTGCCGCATTCCTGAGTAATGGTCAAATCGGAATTGGTTTCTTTTTGCTACATTTCTAAGCGTTTGTAATTGCAGGGGTTTCTTGCACAACTGACATCGATCAAAATTAATCCATTCTTTGGATGACAGCACATCGGTTTAGTAATAAATAACAAAGCCAAAAGGTACCACTTTAAACATGATCTTCAGGGGCTTCTCCAATAGTTTCTAACTTCTCGATTCCTTTCCCAATTAGGTGATTGCTTTTTAAACACCATATATTGCATGCTGCTGATACATTTACAGGGTTCCTCCAGACAGAGGAACAAGTCCATGCTGCAGATAATCACAGAAGTGTCCTGGTCATTCAAGGGAAGATATCCAAACCGCACACAAGGATATGTGTTGGTCTTTTATTCTTATTATTAAATTCTAACTCATACGAGAAAACATGGCTAGCAAATAAGTAAGTATAATGACTTCACTAAAATCTACTGACCTTCAGGATCCCAAATCCCATGCGTCTTCTCGTCGGCTAGTTCCATTGTGACTACCTTCTGTCTCATGTTTTAGTTTAATCTAAAGAACTTCGCCTTGAAATTCCTTGTTGGCCCACGGAAACCTGCTTCGGCCATCTAACTGTTATTTATGTTATGCCTAACCCCGTCAACTTTTCTAGCGCCACTCAATCGCAGCGTCAATTATTTTGGCCCTCATCAGCGGCGGAGTTATCGGCTCGCGAGGCACTGTGCTTTACCCTACTTTAGTAGTTCATTTTTTAAATTAATTAAATCTGGTGTTTTCCTCTTGCTTGCGTAAGAGGAATATTGGGCTGGGTCTCACTTTTCTCCATTTCCGCCTCATTTCAGGACATTTTCTGAGACCTTATGCCGAGAAGCCGGCCAAAACTAGCCTGCCGCTTCGTCTTGGTGGCAGTAAAATCAGATTTACACGAACCCCTCGCGAGGCTTCTGTACTATTTTTACGACCCATGATGATGGCTATTCCTGCGATTCCAAGAGGAAGACAGAAATAATCTCGAATATTCCTTTATTGTTCGTCTTTCAAAATATTCCTTTTGAGCCCTAGTCTGTCTTATCAGCGCCAAGTCCATGGATAAAGAACCTCCGATCTCGGGACTCTGGAGGCAAATTAGCCGCAGTTTTCAACATCATCTGCGCACCGTTCGTAAAATTCCAGCGAACCTAAACTTTTTAAAAATCAATTATATTATATGCCTTAAACATACACTAGACTTGCCAATCCGTGAAATAACTTGTGAACCCTTTAAACAGAGTAGATCATGAGGTGCAAGACCTGTTGGAGTCGAAACAGTCAGGTCGTTCTAACAAAAGCATGAGCACAAGCCTCTGAGATTTCAAACGAAACAAGACTTTCGAGCCCAAAACTTGGGATGAAAGAGGGCGAAGCTGAAGATTTGCAGTGAACTCCGTGACGCTCCAGTATTTATATTTGAGAAAGTGATATGGTCCCTCAGAGCTCATCCGCTGCGCTGGCCCTAGACGACGTCACTATCAATGTTTCAAAATCAAGTCCGAAATATCTTCCTTCCCTAGAGGGATCAGGGTTAAATAATTGAGGGTGGCCATTTTTTTTTCGGTCCTTTACTCGCTTTCCTCAAAACCACCAAAATAAAAAAGAACATGTGTGTTTGTGTGCAATACTGTGTTATTCTTTCATTAAAATTAACTCCTAGCCTCCAAAATTTTCCCCACGTCTCTCTCTCTCTCTCTCTGAACGTTTAAAATTTAAGAAGAATGATAATTAAATATTTTATAAAAAATTAATATAAAATGAGGACCTTTAATCAACAAAGTTGGCTATAATCAAAGAGGTTTGTTTTTTATAATGTGATAATTAAAATTAAATTTTTTTAAAAAAAGGTGCTCACGTTTAATGTAAAACTATATCTCCAATATAATTACTTTTAATATAATTACATTTATTTGTTAATGAAACAAATGCGGACCTTCAACTTATAAATATAAGCATGTATGCCATATATGGTCCTCAAATATTTTAGATTTTTATGTACTAATGTTACTAAAAAAAAGAATTTTATGTACTAATCATTTTTATTTTATACTGAGAAAGAAAACAAGAAAAAAAGGCCTTTCTGATTTTATTCCACATTCCCCTCGGCACAAGGAAGGAGTGTTGTTGTCAACAGTTAGATGTCCCAGTAATAATGTCAGTTCTAACCCAATATCGATACAGTTGTGTGTCAACGAGGGTGTGTATGTCTCTTTTTTTGTAAGGAAAGCCTAGGCTACGAGTAAAATTAAAAAAAAGGAAGGAGTATTGCAAGCTTTCCCTGAACCCACGAATTTGACTGAGCAGAAGAACCTTGCAGGCAAAGAGATAAGCCCAAGGAGTTGACATTACGTGCCATATTTAGCAGATGCGATGACATTGTAGCAGTCACAATAATTTATAATGTCTTTTAACATTCTCATTCCTCGGCACCAACTGGCAACTGCACTATTTAACCTGGAAAACTTCTCTACCTCCGTCACACATCCATGCCTGGAAAATAATGCATGCATTAAGTTCTTATTTATTTAATTAGTGAGCAAGCAGCACAGTTTCAAGAGCGAAATCTACTTTTCACAGCATGCTTCCCCGTTGATATGAAGATGAATTACCTCTGCTTTCTTTTGGAAATTTCTGATCTCACTCATGCCATGTTTACAGCAACGTTCAAGAATTTTATGCTCATGGCAGTCCAGGGTCCGGACTATCATGTCACTCAAATGTCTGCTCTCGAAAAGTGGAGAGAGAAGTAACAACTTGCTCAAGGTAAACATTGAACTGTGTTGCTATATTTCCTTCAATAACTTTGTTATAGAAACAAACTAACCACTTCAGTTCCCCGCTTAATATGGAACAAGCCACTGTGCTTTCCCGCATGACTAGACACGCCAATCTCAGGATAGCAAGCCTGTAGGTTGTGATATCATCAATCATCTTATCCACCTGTTTTTGTGGATAAGGAAGTATTTTCACATGATTGGAGTCCAGATACAGTGTATTAAAGCATTCCTTATAGATAAGGACGAAATGAAACATTATAGGCTTAATTAAAAGCAGGGGAAAATTTGGGCAGAGGATATCTAGCAAAGTCCTCGACCAAGATTCTTGTGTTTACTCTCTTAACACTAACTATATAATTGTTGCGTTAACAAGAATGATCGTCCTCAGATCTGAACTCGACCATCTTACGAAAAAACCATCCCACCATTCCCAACCTACAAGCGGACAAAACGAAAACAGATGGTGTATAAGATTTGTGTTGTAAACTTGTAATAAGTATCCGATTGAAAACTAAGCATGAACCCAGTGTGCCATTCACCAAAAGCATGGTTAGTGAAGGCTTGCCTGAATACCGGGAATGATAAAAGAAAATGGTACTGAGCCGCGAGAGCAACTTCAGAACCGAAAAGATAAGAATTACCCGAAAACGAAGCAGGATGAAAAAGGAAGCAAGCAAAGAATCTGAGATTTTTGGGGTTCCTGGGAGATTTCCTTTCTCGGTTGTCTGGCGTTTCGACGAATCGATGAATAAGGAATATTAATTTGGGTGCCCCCTGTTACATCTTCGTGGGTATTATGACTGTCCCTTGCACTTTTATGGTTTTTTCTTCTGGTATGATGAATTACTCTCAGTGAAATTTGTGATCTGTGAAAGTTAAATGATGGGCAAAGTCTTTTTTTTTTTTTTGAAAAAAGTATTTTAAAGACATGATCATGCAACTCTTGATGAAATTTGTATAAAGATATTGGTTTTTTCCAAGTGATTTTTTTTTAATATTTGCGTAACTTTTGGCCTATTTGTCTAATTAGAATTAAATATATATAAACAGTGGCTGAATTTAGCAAAAATGACTCGTTCCTTTAAATAAAATCTAACATTTTAGTATTGTGAATAAACAGAATCATATTACAAACCATTTTCAATAATACTCAATTTTGATTTGATAATTCTGAGTATCAAATAATTATAGAAAATAAAATTCATGATTAACAATATAAATGTAGACAGTTAATTTTTCAGTTATAAAATAACAGAAACATGTTTTTAAATTTTTGAAAAATAACTTCAAACGTTTTTGATACTGTTATTTTGGAAATTAGCACTCATTTGTAGGTGCGTGCAACGGTCTGAAGAGCGATTTCCTTCCCCCCCCCCCCCTGTTTGATGACAACAGAAGAATGATTATTCTCAACTGTGAAATTTAACAAATTTCTTACTCTTGATTGTCCCTTTTTTTTGTGGGGCCATCATGATTAACATCAGTGCTGCACAAAAAACAGGACGTCACTGGACTTCATCCTAACCCAAAGTCTGGTCTCTTTCATGAAAAAGACTAGGTTAGACAACCCGTAGTCCAGTCTTGTCCAATGATAACTTGAAGATTAATAGAAGCGGACTTGGTCCATAAGACTGGGAGACTGGTCCTGTCAGTCCAGTACTCACTTAGCTTTTTTTTTTTTTTTTATTCTATGAGAGAAAATAATCCATTCCAACATAATAAACTCAATTAAAATAGTAAAAACACTTATAATAATAATAAATTCATAATAATTTCTAACAATAAGAAAAAAATATTTCTGTTATAGTCTAAATTATTTAAATTTATAACTTTAACAAAAACAGTACTCAACAAAATTCAACAACACTATATTACAATAACAATTTAGAAACAAACTTAATAAATCTTTATACAATCATCTCCTTAACATCAATTACACTTTAAACATTTTTCAAAAATAAATTAATTATAATTATAATAAAAAAATTAATAGGACTGGATTGGATCAAGTGGTCCGGATGACTGGTCTCTTGTCTAGTCCAACCCAAAAAATAGCCTGGTCTTTTTAGTCTTTTTGGTCCTGAAGGACCAGTGACTATACAACCGAACAAGACTGAGATCATCTCAAGTTGGATTGGACCAGACAGGATTTGAAGACTTTTGCACAGTCCTAATTAGCATGGACTAAAACTTAAAAAATTGTAATCCTTAATTGGACGAGATACTTTGAGGTCAAAAAAAAAAAAAAAATTGGACGAGATACCCCACTGCTCAATGCTTACCGTCAAAATGCGTCATTTTGCGAGAATTTGAAGTTTTGAGGGGCAAAGGGGAGTGCTTCTAATTCATGAACAATAATGCAAGCGTACCTTCTGGTGGGACCCATCCCCATCGCTGGCTGTGGTGGCGGGTTGCACTCCACCGTCGATTCCAATCTGTTCATCGCTGCTCCACCCAGCTGGAGTAACCGTCGGCACCGCGGTCTCTGGCACGGTTACAGGTGGGGCTCACTTATTGTAGCATCGTCCTCGGCTGCGGCAGTCAACGGCGAACAGAACCACTACGTCGTGTTGGGCCTTGATCAGACTGCCACCGCTGCCGATATCAAAAGGGCTTATCGCCTGCTCGCTCGCAAGGTTTGCTGTTTCCTTCGTACTTAAGTATTAGGGATTTGGGTTCTTTAACTTCATATTCCAATTATGTTTTGATTTTTGTTAGTCTGGGGATTTCGGCTTGTGATGGACTGCAATCGGAAGTATGGACTTTAGAGACTCTGGACTCTGGACTCGGAATTTGAGAAAACAAATTCCTGGCTTCCAGCTATTGCTTAGAGTTATGGGGTTTTAGATAACCTTCACACTCCTACTTTACAGTCAGTTCTAGAAAACTTGTTAATTTTTTTTTTTAAGCTCATTTGGTATGCTTGTATAGATGCATCAATATTCAGTACAATGGAAAACATTTGAACCATGTAACAGAGTTGTATGATCGCTGAATTGGTTGTCTTTTGAGCTAGACTGACCCAAAAATTTGGCATCTGGCCTTGAAAATTTTCTACGCAGTTGGAATTCCAAGATTTGGCGGAAGCTGTATGCTTAAGGGATGGATTAGTCACTGACCTGGAAGTTGAGTGGATATAGTAACTGCAATGATCTGGGTGTCCTAATTTTATTATATTATGCAACCTTTCCGCTAAGGATTTGCAATTAACCATGAACTAGAATGTACCGACTTATTTCTCATTCTAATAAAACTCTGCTGATCTTCGTTTCAATTAAGCTTTATGACAACCCAGAATAGGGGAAGGGTATTCTTTAATAATTTAGTTAAACTATGTATTGATATGCCTTATGATTGATTTTTTGGGAGGACGGGAGGATTGATGGATCTGGTGCAGAAAGGTGAGAGCTGATTAATTCTTGACGCAGCTTGTTGTCTTAGCATTGGATTTTCCCAGTTTGGACTCTGACATTGTCATCATAATGATTTAACAATTCCTGCCTTGAAAAATTCTATTATTTAAGAAGGTTTTTCTGCTTTGTGGAGATCATAGCAGAGAAATGAATGCAAACATTGTATTTTTTAGAGATCATAGCAGAGAAATGAATGCAAACATTGTATTTTTTAGGGGATGACGGTTCACCAGTTATTCTTCTTCCCTTGTTCATTCTCGTAGTAGGCACTTCCTTAAACCTGGCAACGAGGGCACAGCTTCTTAACACATTCAGAATTGCAGAGCGTTTCTTTTTGTGGAGCAACAGAATTCTCGAGTTTAAGCAATATTTGATAGCTTGATCATGAATTTCATGCACGAATATGCTTTTAAACATGTGCTAAGAGATACTTCCTCCATTTTTATTTATAGGAGAAACTATCACTTTCAACTTATTTTTTTATATAAACAAAATAACATTTTTCAATAAGCATTTATTGCAAACTTCTTAAATTACTCCTTATAATTTTATCATTCATGATCATAAGAAACAATTAATGACGGCTTGATTGACACAATTAATAAAGAGTATTGTAGTCTAACTCTTTTATTTTTAAATATAATTAATATAGTTAATTGATTTTTTTAACTGTGTGATACAATTTTTTTCTTTTATAAATAGAAATGGAGGGAGTATTATGTTCAGGATAGCTGTTTTATCTGCTCTCACCATATTAGACTCTGAAAGAGTTCAATGTGTCTTTTGATTTGGATCTCAATTCTAGTATTTGCTTTTCTTTGTAGTCATTAAATTATACTTCACCGATGCATTCATACGGAAATAGCATTCTCAATCCTCAGGAGGGCGCCTTTGTGCTGCCACCTTAAGCCTAAGTAGCCCCATGGGCTCTGCTTTCATATCATATAATTTTTACTTGGATGCTTGAACTGCTTGATTGCAGCATGACATATCCTAACTGAAATTCTTGCAAAAAATGTTATGTAGAATTATTTCTCTCGCCTTGCCCATAAATTCTCGTTCTTAATGACAATGATCAACACATTTTCCTTGTCTGTTATTGTGCTGTGATTGCAGTATCATCCTGATGTTAGCAAGGATTCACAAGCTGCAGAATTATTCAAGAGCATTCGTCGAGCATATGAAGTGAGCATTACCCATTTACCTTTACTTGCAATGTAGAAAAATGATTGTGTATAATGTACGAGGAAAATAGTTCAGGGCAAGAGGACCTCTAGGAACCCTCAGATGCCTGACTGTTTCCTTTTATTACTTCTGGTTCTTCAGCTTCATGATAGAGCACATGGCGTCTTGCAATCCATGTAGCCGACCCCACCTAGTGGGATAAAGGCTTGTTGTTGTTGTTGTTGTTGTTGTTGGTTCTTCAGCTTCATGGTTTATGCCTGGGGAAAAATTGAAGCTGACTAGATGGTTTTTGAAGATTGCAGATTGTTTGAAAACGAACATCATACGTAACGTTAAATCATTCTTCATTTTAAATTCAAGCTGAAACCACTAGACAAATTCTTACTTCCGGAATAAAAAAATCTTGTAACTTGGAACGGCTTAGAAAACACTTGAGGTTCCTTGATTCTCTAAGGAATTTAGGCTTTTCTTTCACTCTGCCTCTTGGCATATGTGCTTTTTAAAATCCAGATATAATTTCTACCTTCATCCTTAAAACAGGTTCTCTCCAATGAGGCAACGAGAATTCAGTATGATCAGTCTCTAAAATTTCGCCAGCAACCTTACAGGAGAAGATGGAGTTACGGCACGGAATTTGATGATGAGATAAGAATGTATAGGTGGGCCAAACTGAGGCAGAAAATGCATGACGAATATACTGGGAGCACTACAACGTCAATGAGGGCTCCTCCTGCAACAGCAGTGAAACAGAGGAGGAAGAGGAGGAAGAGGAGGAAAAATTAGAAGAGAGAGGTTCCTTCATGGAAGTTCTTAGATCAGCATTCGTGTCACTGTTATTGTTCCGAACATTTGGATCCCGATTGTCCCTCACATTTAGCAGCCTGCTGGCATTGTTCGACAGGAAGCTGGATACTGGCTATAAAATCGGATATGTAATGGCATGGATTCTGGGTGGTAGGGGTGGCATATTGCTAACACTATGCTTGTCATTTGCAAGTTGGGCTTGTGGAAAAACCAGTAGTAGCGTAGTTTCGCTAGTGGTGGTAGCCATGTGGGTTGGGTCCTATCTTGCTAGGTATGCACCTCTTCCCCAAGGTGCTCTGCTAACTCTTATCTACATGTCCATTAAGCTACAATCTGACCTATAAATATAAACACCATGCTCCCACTGCTACGCATGGTTACATATTTTTTCCTGAAATAAGTGGTTGTACGTATATTTCCGTATGAATGTAGTACGTATCCGTTGAAGCTGCTTGCTTGTATACTAAATAACG